AATTGATGTACATTCTTTAGAGTAATTTCGTATTTCTTTTTTTTTAAATACTTTGTTATGGGGGTTTGTGCTTCACTGGATTTTCTTTGAGCTTCTAACAAGCTCCAAAAGTATACAATAAATAATTGGTAGATCCTATTTTAAGCTCTTAAGTACTGGGATTCCATTTATAATTACAAATCAAGAGAAGCACTTCAAACTTGGCAAATTTGCCATGGAGATATTTTCCAAGCAACCTCACCAGAAGAGCTATGGGAGTACCAAGTATCTCGCTATTCAACCAATGAGAAACAGCATAAAAAGCAGGTTAAAAAGGAGAATCACTCAAAGCAAAATTTGACTGGTTGAATTTTGGGAAGGCTGATAATAGCAGTTTCTGAAAGTACACACTTGACTTGCACTTCATACAAGTCTATTTTAAATAAAGGTCAGTTGAAGATCTAGCTCCAATTTTAACCAGTTTGATGATTGGATCTGGAAGTCTAATTTTTCATCACTTTTGAAGTTATTTTATCTGTCAATATGGCAAACTCCAGGCACCAATATGATTATTGGTCTTTTCCAACTACAATGTTGAGTTTTCCCTAATGATCAGACATTAGGAGAATGAGAGAAGGCTGTAAGCTTTTGGCTTCATTTTATGAGAGAGAAATACAACAAACCTCTGATTTCAATATATATGTACCCCAGGAGCATATCTACTTCTAGCAACATCAAAACAGATCCCCATTATAGGGATTCTTTCTTGCCCAGCAAGCCATGGAGATCTCAACCATAAAATTTAGGATCAATACGCCTGAGCACTTGTATGATTAGTAAGTATGCAAAGTAAATTTCCTCAAGGAAAAGGATTTATTGAAAACTGATACTTGCCAGACATTTGAAAAATGAGATTTCATCCGTCTATATTATTTTGCTATACAATCTCTTTAAACAGTAGAGTTTTTATGATACCTTCTTGTTCCAGGAAATAGAGCACTGTGAAGCACACGCAGTGCATAACTGTAATAAAAAGGCTTCCCGAATGTTTGTTTTAATATGGTTGCAGAGAGGAAAGTGTATTACTTAGATATGAAAAATACTGGTTAACAAACTTGGTGCTCATTATCCACAGCTCACTGTCTTGAGCCACTTGACTCAGTTTCACTGCAGGCTGGCTCTGCACAGTTGCTCATTGGGGAGCAAGCAGAGCAACCATCAGGTTTATGTGTCACGGGGCTGCTGAAAGAGCGGCGCGGTGTTATGTTGTGCCCCCTGTGCAGCGACTGGCAGACAGTTTGGCAAACGCCAGGGCTCCTGAAAGAGCTTGTCCGCATTCCAGGAAAACTTAAAGACAGGTGAGAAGGACATTAAATATATTCCAGTTTCTAGACAGACCAAAGTTAGTCTAAGGCCTGCTGGACAGGAGTTCAAACTGGCCACAGCTAATGGTTACTTGAAAACTTCCACCTTAAGCTGAAACCCTTTCCATTCTTTTGATATTCAGATGCAAGTTACACAAATGACGATAATTAATCAAATACTACTTCAGAGCTTGGACGGATTGTTGCCCCAATGAAATTAAAGTTTCAGTTTACTGAAAAAAAAAAAAAAAAATCAGACTCCAGTTATCCCTTTCTGGAAAACAGCATAGTGCTCTCAAATCCAAACTGACTTAAAATTCTCAGAAGACACTTGATCTAGCCTGCTGAAAAGAAGAATGTAGGAGGATAGGGTACAGTAGCTACAGGAGCTTTCTAGCATCCTCTCTCCTGGCAACTTCAAACAGGATAAGGAAAATTACATGGTCCAAGAAAAGCTTCCATTCCATAGAACAGATGTGTAGCTGGACTTATATAATAATGTTGGCTGCTGTGTTGGTTATAATTGCATATTTAGGAAGACATAAGATTTGTGAAATGAGCAATTCAACAAAAATACAGTTGTGATTATTTATGTGGGAAATGTTAACTGCTTAAGATAGCTAATTATAATGAAGACTTTAGAAGCAACATTTTAAATTAAACCAATAGGGTTTAAAAAAAACTTACAAAAACAACACTCTCCACCCCCCAACAAAAAAACCTTATTATCTAACCATGCCTGGTTATTTTCTTGCCAAATATAATATGATATTGGCTTACCCACCTCTGTGTTATATGACAGAAATACAGAATTCTAATGCTAGCCAGGTGGTCTAAAACTTGTTCTGAATTCTTCATTTCCCATAGACCAGAGTCAAATGGGGCACTTTAAGATGCTGTCATGCCTGAGCTGAGCATGACTTTACCCAGCTACAGTGTTTCTGACATCAGTGGTTCTGTCTGCAGATGTGAGGCACGCACTTACACAAAACAATTCTGCCAGAATAAAAGTGGAATAATCTGGGCCTATATTGTGACAGTATATTTAAACAGGAGGATAATGACATTTCTGAGAAACTCTGACGAGTCTTATCCAAAACAGCAAATAACGGTATTATCTGCTTTGCAGTTTCACAGTAATTATTTTTTCCTTCTAAACACAATCTCAATGATTTTATACAGGACCTATGATGACTCTCTTTTTCTGATTGTGTCCTGCTTTACCATAATGCCAGTATATTTTCAAAAATGCTCCAGCTCAAGCTTAGGAAATTATACTGGCTACCAGGATACCTTAATCAGAGCATTCTTATCAGTGTGTCTCCAGACTAATAAGAAGAAATCCAATCTAGAGCCCACTGAACACTAAATTAGATCTAATCATAGGGCACTCTTCCAACTGTTCAACAGCAGGTCTAAAACCAATGAATGCCATTTATTTTTCTTTGGTACCCATTAAAATATTACAAGTAATCCCGTAATAGCTGCTTCAAAGCCATGATGAGAAAAGTGTGCAGACATTTGTTTGCATTTAAAGCATGACCATTCAATGCTCTCCTTGCCAAAAGCTACTTTACATTCAAACACTTTCATGAAGACCCTGAAAGGCTCCACAGCCACAATACTCTGGGAATCCCATAATGGGGCAACCTACTTAACATCTTCTCAGCTTGAGAATGTTTAAATGGTTGAAGTACAACACCTTTTAGTGGTTCTCTGGCACACAGATTTTGCCCCCTTAACAAAAAGGCATCATCGAGCTAATTCAGACTGGAAAATTACTGCATCTGGGCTTAAATATGTAATTCGTTGAAAGCCCGCACTACATGCACACAAGGATTATAGTATAAAGGCATTGAAACCTGCTTAATGCTTTATGCAAAAGTTTTAGACCCATATTTTTATAGGACACTGTGAGCCATGTGTTCACTGATTTTTTTTTTTTTTTTTTTTTTTCTGCTGGGAAAGATCTATCTGTAAAGTGTCCTAGGTTAGATAGAGCAACTGTGTATCACTTCAAACTTGTAACCATAAAATATTGGGGGGGAGGACTATGATAAAGCTCAGATTTTTTTCATATAGTTTATTTCTCAGAGGTCAAAGTGACAGGCTAAGTTTTAGCTCCCCTTTTGCTTGCAGTCTTCATTGTACTGAACACAACCTGAGTGTGATAATGACTAACATACCAGTTATATCAACATGCACTGAGTCCCAGCTTCTACGCACTTTAATGCTTATTGTTCTCACACATGGCAAACTACCTCCCCCCTAAATACTCAGTCTTCTCTTACTGCGCAGGCTGGCCATGAAGACACTGAAGTACTAACAAAGTTGTGAGATATGGGACAGGAGAGAGGAAAGGAGCTGCCAGAAAAATTATGTGCAAAAGGTGAAGATATAATAATTGGCCGTGTGCAGGAGGAGCTTCCCACTGTCACAGCTCAAGGATTGTCATAACCAAACCATATGTGCTCTTGCTTGTCCTTCTCTAGAATAGGGTGGTCCATGTTTGCAATTAAGATCTTACGGATAAATTACATGTCTGAGTAGTCCTTCACTTAACATATAGACCAATTTCAACTACTTCATATTTTAGTTCTTTGGCTTTGCTCAGGGATTTCTAATCTAAACCTGTGCTTATTTTTATATAGCATATAAATGCAACAAAGACTGCAATCACAGAGTGAGACATTCAATGGTAATCATGAACTTCTTGATATTAATTTCTGGTTATGTCAAGACAGTCAGAAAGGTGTAAAATAACATGTTAAAAAGCTACTTTTTATTTTACATTTTATATATTGTTTTGGGGTGGAGGGTTGTGATATAAACCAGAATTGATTAATTGATCATATATCACCTTTACTTTCTGAGTGCATCATCCATGACGGTAATCTGAACGTTAGGAATACATATTAAACTCACTTCACTTCTGCTCCCCCTACTGACTGGCTGAAATAGTAGCTGATTTCCTTCTCTTCGAAGGAGTTACTGGTTCCCAATGTGATTATGGAGACAAGAGTGAATGAAATTTGCAGTTTCACATTTGGCTTATGAATTTTTTTATGCTACATTAATAAATATTGAAGACTGTGTGATATATATCTTACCCCTGATCATGACTGTGTGTTAAATCACACGTGGCATAAAATACTCAAATATACAATATATTCTGAAACAATTTCTCTTGCAACTAAGCCACATTTGGCATAATAAGAATACTGAACTGAGCATGGCTCGCAACAATAAGATCTTTCATATTGCCATTTTGTTTGCATGTGCAGGTACTTGCAACACAGGAGCCCTCAAAGATCTAGATATTCAACCACAAATGCTAAATGTGTAAAAACAATCAGATGGCATCCCCACCCGCACATCAGCCGGTGACCAAATTTCCTTTCTTGGACTTCACTGAGTCTCTCATTTCCTCCCCACACTTAAATCCTCAGTGTCTATTACCCACACTGTGCTATAAAACTGTTGGCACCTTTCTTTTTTTTTCAGCCCTTGCCTCCCTCTTGCCTGACATAGAAACAACAGACTAGCACGTCCCAGTGAGTTTTCAGTGGAAAACGTGATTACATTAATGTCAGAAGCTGAAAAAACAGTAAATCTAGCTAGTCTGTAAAATAAAGAAGAGGAAGGGATCATACTCACAGCAGCTGCAGAGACACAAGATCATCAAAAAGGCCCTGGGGAATCTCTGTGATCTTGTTTCCATAGAGTACTCTGAAAGATTCAGGAAGACAAAATAAATCTTAAGTAACAGACCAGTTTAGTGTCCTCCCACATGTCTGCATTATCATCTTTATTGATCTTGTGCACCATGCCCGGGATCTGTGGGCATTTCATTTAAGTACTGATCTCATTTTCTTCTCAGAGAGCACATGGTATTAAATGAGTCGTTATGATTCCGGCTTTGTCTGGTGTTGGAAAGCATTTTTAATGTAGAAACTGGACAACATCCAAAAACTGTATCTGAAATATTTTTCATTCTGTTGAGGGATTTCTTCCACCCTTTTTAGAAATATTTTAACCATTGAAAGGCACATTGTCTGATGCAAACCCCTGGAATTCTGCTCAGTGATAATGAATTTAAAAGCCAGGGAGCACAAGCTGGTTGTAGATAAAATTTCATATAACCGAATCTCTTAAGATATAATAATTGGCATGAAATGTGAGACAGGCATCATTGGCTAAAGTATCATGGCTTCACCAGCTGCTGTCACCATTTCAACTAGCTAATATAAAGAAATTTAGCCTGAACTGGAAATATCTTTCAGAAACTCAAAAATAATGTAGGTATAGTTTAGTTATAAAACTAAGTAAAGATTTAATAACACAAATAAGAGTCACTGTATATATTTATTCAACCACAAATATATACATGCTGATATCCATGATTCAGTTCTAATATTTAAAATATTTCCTTTTTTAATGGAAAAATGCACATATAGTATCCTCAGAAATTGAACTAAAGGGAAAAACAGACAAAACCACCATTATGCTAAGATGTGTTGCCTAGGGATCAGAGCAAAATCATGTATGACAGGAACACCTCAATTTCAATCATGGCTAAAGTATTTATTCATGTCATTTCTGCAAGTTGACAAAATTCATCAAAACCAGAAAGTGAGTTAGGAGTTTATATGGGTCCTGGTAAAAAGGAAGATCAGGCTCCCTCTGAAAATTTTATGCCTTACCTAAACATTTTAATAGACTTCAAATTGGGAAAAACAGTATTTATGTAATTTATATGCTCTACATAGGACATGGTAAATGGTTATAAACCAGCTCATGCCAAAACTTTGTTGCTTATGTGTCACTAAACTGGTTAATTCCCTAACTTTTTAATGTGGAATAAAATGCTAGCAATTAATCAAATAGCCATGTGAGGCTTGGATGCTGGCTGAAATTCTGGCTTACTCTGTCTTTCAACATTTAAAATATTATGGCGAGTTGAACATACTGGTAAACAAACACTATAGAATGATGGACCATTTACAATACCCTCTGGCCTTCCCAGGGTATCGCCACTTCAATTTACTCTTCATCAGTCATTGGAAGTATATCACCTCTGTGGGAGAGTTCCCAGATCAGCTCATTTCTGAGCCTAAATAAAATGAATCTAAATAAAATAACACCACTTAGATATGAAAATCTAAACTTGAAACTTCATTCTTTATTACTTTTGCAGTTTAGCAGGAACTGAAATGCTACCCAAGAAACTAATGATGATCTAGCTTTATATTTTCTCTAAACAAATGTAACAAGTTATCTATTGCAGAGTTAGGAGGTTGGCTGTTACTGTGCTGTTACAGTTAGTGGTTTTTGTGAGTAATGAATGCTAGTACCACTAAATTTTTCTAATTGTTTCCTAATTTCAGCTTCAGAAGACACACACAATTTCCTACTTCAACAGAATTTCATGCAATGTATGTAGATTTTTATACTCTATTCAAAACTAGACAGAAATGATGGCTGAACTTTGAAAGGTGTAGCAGGTCCATTTAGATAGCAGTTTCAAAATAAGAGATAATATTCAAGTCATTGAATCTCACTGGGCTCTAAAACAGCACCCAAATGGCTGACTCACAGACTTCTTTCTAAACAAAGTAACTGATGTGAGCATCTGTATCAGGAAGCAAAAGCAAAACCTCTGCAAATAAAATATTTATAAAATGTTAAAATATTAAGTTAATGCCCACAGAATCCAGCATATTTCCACTTCAGTTTCCACTCTTTCTGAACAACATTTCTTTAGCAAGTGCATCATCAAGTGGCGTCAGGGGAGGTTTAGATTGGATATTAGGAAAAATTTCTATACTGAATGAGTGGCCAAGCACTGGAACAGGCTGCCCAGAGAGGTGGTGGAGTCACCATCCCTGGAGGTGTTCAAAAAAATGTGTAGACGTGGCACTTTGGGACATGGTTTAGTAGGCATGGTGGTGTTGGGTTGATGGTTGGACTGATGATCTTAAAGGTCCTTTCCAACCTTAATGATTCTATTCTAGTTTTACTTTCATTAAAAAATAATCCAGCCACCAAGCCAGGAAACATGGAATTAATTATTATTCTACCCTTAATTGTTTTAGTGGTGGACTTGGTAGTGTTAGGTTAATGGTTGGACTTGATGATATTAAAGGTCTTTTCCAACCTAAATGATTCTATGCTTCTATGATCATCTGTACATAAAGTTTAGATTGTAAGGTCTGTGATGTTAGATGAACATCTTCCTTAGTTTTGTGAAGTAGCAGGATCATCAATGCTGACCAATAATGCCTAATACTATAGCATATATGAAAGAGTTCAGAAGCTAAGCTTTACAAAATGCCCATGGAAAGAAGTAAAAAAATCCCCACTCCAGACTAAGGGTTATTCTGGCTGTAGAGGTAAAAAACCTTTGTGAAGTAAAACCTTAAAGAAATCTCAACACTCACACGCAATGCAGTTGTTAGTTATGGTACTACTAAATCCAAATATCAAAATAAGACTCTTATTAGAGTAATTTTTCATTTACTTTTAATTTAGGAGTCAGAAGGTCATAGTGCAGTGTTCCACTGAATTTTAAACCTTGGATGTGTTTATACATCCTCTTTATTATTTTGAGTGAAGTAAAACAGATTAAAATAGCTTATAAAATAAAACAAAGCTTCAATTTTTAGAAGCCATGAAAATAAAATAAGCATTTTCAAACCTAATTGGGCTTATGTGCATGTGGCACATTAACATTCAAACAAATTAACAGCTAAACAAAAGTCAGTATGAGAGCTCAGGCACTTGTCTCTAATTCATATTCATGTTCAGCGCTACACAGAGCCAAATTAGCTAATGCCATTGTCTGTCTGCCGTGCCAGAGCTGAAGTCAAATGGTCCTACTGAAAGAAGCAAAGAGGAGGGGAGGGGAGATACATAATGCATTGCATCTCATTTCCTGAAGTCCTTATTTCCGTTTACTCTAATAAAAAGCACAGAAACTTCTGCTTTGCTCAGAGTTCTCATTTTTTCCTGTTTAAGACAGGAAAGCATACTCATACCAACAAATATGAATATTGGCCAGGTTCCTGATCCAAGGTGCTTTTGTTCTGAATGTACCAACTGCTGCACTCCTAATAGTACTATGAACGAGTTAGCCTGCAGAAAAGACTGGCCAGGTTAGGTACACTCCATTATTGCAGCCGCTTTCCTCTATGTCCTGTTGTTCTGCCCATCTCACTAGTATGCACCGCAATGTTTCCAGAATAGCAGCTTTGGGGATAAAAGAAACCAAACAAAAAAATAACTTCAGAAGGCCATATAACAGGAAACTCAGCCAAGTCAATTCAAGAACTTTATTTAACTCTCCAATGTTTTTACCAACAGAGATAAATTTTAGGAGATTTGCCTATGGCATTACAAGTTCTAAAAATGTATGTTCACTTGCATCCCTCACATATGTTGCAGGACATGCAGGTGTCCTGGCTACTGCCCAAGCTTGGCACAGGAAATATAACCCTCTTTCTATCCCCTAGCACCTGAAATTTTAGACCCAAAATATTTTTTATTAAAAATACACTAACAAAGTTACTATGTAATAAAAATAAAATCAGCTCAGTAATTGCTGCCAATAGACAGTGAATCAGTGAATCAGAATGACATTTATTAGAACACACAAAAAATTACTAAAATTTTTATTGTGTGCTCCTGATTGTTCATTAGCTTCTCAACTTGCTGGGAGACCAAGTTAGCCACAGGTCTGACAAGTACCATTTACTGTCAGGTGGAGAAGATATTACCCTAAACATGATGTACATTTTGGGAGAAAGAGAAAAGTGAGCTATAGCTTAATTCTATATTCACAATGTTAATCCTAAAAGTAGCAACTAGAGACAGCCAAAACCGACTGAGAGACCAATAGGTATCCTTTTTCTTACTGTTCCTTTCTTCTTCTTCTCACCACACATGGGAATCTCTTTTACAAAGATGGAAACCAGTCTGAAACAGTCATAAAGATGTGCAAACGACTTGCTAGTGCATGATTTTATTCTTGTCTTTTCCACAAGGCAGGAATATCTAATACTAGAATGACCAGTGGGAAGAATCATTCACTGTATTTTTAACTCAAGCAAACTTTTCTCAAATTTTTTGCAGGTGGCTTTCTAACATCAGCAAGTTGCAGTTATGGCACAGGTGCAGCTGAGGCATCTGAGGGCTATATTCTTAGCAGCATGTAGAGCCATCAGCTTGCCAGTTCACAGCTAAAAGCTTTCAGCACGGCCACAAACCACAAGCTACAGTTCTTCAAAAGTACCTGGCAGATTGGCTCACAACTTGCAGCAGTTTTCAGGCTGCCATCAACCTTCCAAACAATGGAAAAGACAACACACATAAAGCACAGACCCCTGGCTGCACTGCAAGCACTGGAGGAGATCCTGGAAGAAGCACCCTATTCAGCTGAAGAGTTATTATGGATCTGCAATAAGAAACTATACAAATCTATAAAAGTCGTAATGAGGTGTTACGTTTCTTCAGCCTGATTCTGGCATCATATTTTAATATTCCCCCCAAAATGTATCTATTCCAAGACACAATTAAATATTAAACTACTAGTTAAGCAATTAATTGTTACTACTAAACTTCAAGTTTTGCATATGAATCCAACTGATGTTCTAAGTAATTAAAAATAAAGATTAAACAGTGAAAATAGTCACTGCATAGATTCATCTAAAAGCTTGGGACATACCAGACAA